CTGAAGCTGTTCCGTCTCAGCTGCCTCATTCAGTTGTCTTCTTAACAGCAACTGGCCACCACAAGTGCCACCAGCCATTGTAATTATGAATGCCATCCATGGACCCTGGACCAGTAGCCAAGGGACTTCAAGGCACTTCTTTCCACAAGGCTATGGCATGACACATACGGCCAGAGGAGCACAAGCAAAGTCCCCAGCAGACCAGTGCTTGCAAAGCCATGACAAAAGGTATTAGCTCAATGTAACCCAAAAAAGCATACAGAAGGAAGATAGTCTTTTGTGCTGGACATGCTACAAAAGCAGATCACATGACCTCAATGTTTTCTTTCTGGAGCTGGAGTGAAACATCAAAGGATAATTCAAAACATGTTTGGATATGCTCGAGGTAGGAGAGCACAGGGCAGTATCTCCAACAGGCCATAGAAACCCACCCCTTATTGACTCTCTGTTCTTTCGTACCTCCCCCACATTTGACAGCTCCTGGAGCAGGTCCAGCATCATTGCATCAGCAGTTCTGCCAGGACCCATTCCACATGCTGAGCAGTTTCTGAAGGAAAAAGCATTTCCTGACATCTGTTCTGAATTCACTGCTCTTCTCCTCCTCCCCCACTTGGTTTCACCTCACACTCCTCTCCAGCTCCCCCTCCACCACCACCACCTGTCCCCAGCTGACCAGGGCTCACCAGGAAGAGATGAGGACCTTCGGGGAGAATTGATGACCCACACCTGTTCCAGCCCCTTTCCTCCCCTGCTAATTTTCTGTGTCTGCTATTGACACAGGATTTTGCTCTTAGCAATGGCACTGAGCGATCTGACCCCAACCCAGCAAATCATTTCTGCATGCACTTTCTTTTACATGCCTCATGCCTTAATTTTTACTACTAGAACAACAGGCATGAGCACTGGCTAAATTAAAAGGACCTTTGCAGGACTGAACCCAGGACCAGGCTCACTACTCTTTCCTCACTCCCTTTTAGGATGGAGCTGTTGCAATGTTAACGATTCCAAGGTTGAATTTTGCCTGGTGCGCTCTGATGAAGTCAGCAGGATAGGGAATGATTTCCACCAGTATTTGATTCCCATCAGAAGTTTTCCCTCATGCTCTGCCTCACCTTGCACTAGCTGTACAGCTACACAGTCCTTTGAAAAATTGTCTGCGTCAAAAATATTCAAAAGATAATGAGTCTAAGAGACACAACAAGCTTTTTTTGCCAGCTAAGTTGCCAATAATTTTGCGTATACAAACATGGATGCAGTTTAAAGGAAGCAAAAGTCTTCACAATCTTGACAATTCCCCCTGCACTGCAGAATTTTAAATAACCTGGATATCTCAGCGATATGCCAAGCATGTAGTAGATTTTATTAAGCATAACTTTGGTTCTAAGTATTCCACCCTCATTCTTGTAATGCCTTTAGTTAAAAACAATTATACAAGAGCAAATACAAAAAATATTAAATTATGAAAACAAATCCATTAAGGCTCCCTTTTTATATTTATATATATTTATATATGTACACTCAAACAAGTGCAGATATTAACAGAAGGTTAAAGCCACAAAAATGCTAAAAAATTTACCACTATACTATCAAAAGCAAGAGTTTTAAAAAAGTACAAAGTGGTAAGTGAACCATTTTCAAATCACTGAAGTATTTGCTGGATTGCTTCAAAATCCATCCAGGGAAAGGGCAGATCAGGAATTGCTTATGCTCACTGGCAAGCAGTTTCTCACTTGAGTAGCCGCACAGGACACTTGTGGTGTGACTAGCTGACCACCCATTTAAGGGTTGCCCATTCTAGCCCAATCCTGACTTTAAGACAAGCTTTTGCCTGTCAAATTGACATGAAGGTGGCTGGGATTCCTAGACTAAAGGGTCAGCAGAATTCAAAGTTGTTCTAACACACACGTGGATGTTCTGTTCACACAGAGAATTAATTCCAACTGAAAACAAAAAACTACATCACGCTGTATGTACAAGGGAGTTTTCTGGCCTCCTGTGTTTCAGAGAGAGGAACTCTACCCTGAATCACAAGATAACAAGGACAGAAAGCAGAATGCCTTCAGCCTGGAAGGGCCCAATCCAACACACCCACTGAAGCCAAAGAGAGGTCCTCATCCCCCACCGACTCTGGTGCCGTTTGGATTACACCAACTTCATTTCACTGCGCAGGCGTGGTGGGATGGCCACACTCACTGAGGGGCAATGGCTGAGAGGAAATGGTCTGCTCAAACCAGAGGAGGGTCTCTCCACCAACTTCTAGACATTTCCATACTGAGCAGAAAGTTAATTGTGGAGTGGAAATCAAAAGGCATGAAGTTTGGTAGGCTGGGAGCAGCTAATATGAAACATGAGCGTGGCGTGGAAGGCTCGTATATAGTGCTGTCTCAACGACATGAAACAAACTCAATCAGTGCAAGTGTTTGAATAATGTGCTGCCAGAAAGGAAGATTGTCTCCTTCCAGAAGAAGGGAAGGAGAGAGGGAAGATCCTGCAGCACTCAGGGTGTTTCTTTGTTGAGAAAATACATGGAAGAGTCTTACATTTGGCTTTTGTCTTTTGTGTGTCCATAATCTGAACAGTCTGGTAGACCATCTTCACATTTAATCTTCTAGACATGAGTCACACTGCAAGTCTAAATCAATGGCAACACACTTATCACAATTCAATTTACTCTCAATCTGATTATGTCCTCATAAAAAATGCCTGGACCTTGACAAATTGAAGTCTGTATCTAGGAAACATTTCTAATTGTGAGCATTTTGTCCCAAGTGCTATGCTGAAATTCTATTTAAAACATCCAATACTTACAGGAAAGGCAAAAGGAACTAAAAACCAAACCGACAAACCCTCCCCCACCACCTTTACAACACAAACACGCCACTGTTGATATTAACAAAAGGTGTTCTCAAACAGTTATGTCCAATGTAATTACAAAGTAGAAATTATTTTGTTTAGCATCCTAAGGCAAAGACTGGGATTAGATCTTCAGCTGACAATGGATGAACACCGCTTCAGTGAGAGCTAGGACTCTGCCGACCAAGGACGATGAGGATTTCTCCCCAGATTCTGAGGATATCTGCACCCATTCACACCAGGTAAGAATCCAATTCTATAGTCCTACATGAGTAATCTTTTCCCCCCTCCTCATCCCAGGCTTTCCTGGATAACTAGTAGTCATAAGCATGAAGGATCAGATTCTGCCATCCCTGTGCAAGCTGAGCAGTATTCTATTTAACGGCAAGTCACAGGGGCAACTTGTGAAAAGGCAGAGAACGTGACAGAATTGGACCCTAAAACTCAGTGGTTACACACTTCCCTTCTTTCTTGAGGCTAAAGGAAGGATGGGATAAAATGAATTTCATTTTCTTCCTCACTGTAGGGACTGGCTTAAACACTGCTCTGTTGCAGGAACTGCAAGAAGCTCCTGCAAGCAAAGATCAGGAACTGATGGCAGATCAGATTCCTGATTTCAGTTCCAGCAAATGAGTTTAAACACTACCAAGTAATGTGTCAACACTGTACTCAGATCAGCATGTCCTTGGAGGAGAAAGGCCACCACAGCAAAGTAAGCAGGATTTCTAAACACAAGAAGTAGAAGACAGGTCATTTTGCATTGAGAGGTAAATTCACAGGGAACACTGCACAGGCCTGTACACAACGGTGTAAGTTTAGAGACAAATCAGCTTCTGGATTCTCCCTGGTGAGAGGATCATCAGATTTCTGCTCTTTCATAGCCTAAATTCTACACGCCAAACAGGGAGAAATGGGCTTTAAGGCTGCCTAACTTTTCACTGCTGGTGAATTTTAAGCATTCTCATCTTTCCCACACCTGCCTATCCCAGTGGGGATGGGCAGCAAGTGATCAACATACCTCGTATCCTCCCAGATTTGATATAAATTCCAACTAAATACAAATTATTGTGGGATATACACAGGCTGTAGGTCTAGATGGAGGAAATCTACCTGCACGGCAAAGCTTCGTAAGGTATCACAGGAGGATTTTTGTTCTGTTTTAAAGCAAAATATAATGTGTATCTCCACTAAACTAGGATCACAAGAGATAAAGCAGTGCAACACTGAAGGAGTTTCTCTAGTATCCCTGGTTAAAATCTCTGAGTAAGCACGTCAGACTGGTCCGTGACACTGATCTGACAGACAGACTCCTTATCCATTGATCTCAGGACTGCATTTGGCAAGTCGATCTGTTTACGGTACTGTCTTTTTAATCCACATGTCCCAGGAATTAAAAATCTCATCTTCAGTAAGTGTCAGATGGATGCTGTTATTTTCCCTCTCAAGGGGCAAATCTGAGACAACTTGCAAAAGCCTCTCTCTGCAGGAAAGCTGGAAGCCTTAGCAGGCGCTGGCTCTAGGAGTCTGGTGCTTCTGTTGCTTCCTGGACCGTCCTCCTCAAGTTGCCCTTGACTTTGACAAATTCAGGTGCATTTTCCTGCTCTTCCTGTATTTTCTGTTGCTCCAGTTCCAGCTTAAAAGGGAATCACACATAAAAAAAAAAAAAGTAATTAAAATGGATCATCGAAATACAAGACAAAAACCTAAAGGTTTCAAAAACTGGCCATGCAAAACTCTTTAAACGGCTTCCTTTCTTTCTCTCATGGAAAAGATAAAGTTGCAGTTCTTTGGGAGTATCTCTTCTCATAAAAGATAAATCTTTTCAAATCCTTGGCTCTAGCTCATTCCAGATGTCCACCTTTGCCAGACAGACAAAAACTGCGAGCCCAGTACCAGAGCAAGATGAAGCATTTTGAAGAAATTCTTGGACATCTTCGTTAAAGAAATAACAATAATTCCCTTCTCAGGCTTCTATAACAGGACAAGGACGAATGTGCCTTGTGGGAGAACACGTGTGAACAGCTACTACTGAGCACACTTGCAGAATGTATTTCTGAGTGTCTAGGTATGGATTTCTGTATCTAACTTGAGCCTCTTTTGGCGTATCTGTTTTGTCTATAACAAAAAGCAATTAAAAAAAAAAAGTCCTCCTTGGCCCTTAGTTGTTCATTTTTGAGAGCCTATTCACCGACATTTTTAACCCAGTTGGAGCTCCTGCCCATGCAGACACTTGAAATTACAAGATTAGATGCTCTGCTCTACAGGGCAAGGCTATACAGTGCCCATACAGAACATGGCTTACTCATTGTACACAATGCGGATTGCTCAGCAATCCTCAGTGAAGGCAAGTAAGTCAGCAGAAAGGAAGAGACAACCCTTTAGAAAACTAACAAAAGCTCCTGAAATGAGCTTTTTTTTTTTTAACAGACCAAGGTCTCCCTGATTAATGCAGACCATGTATGGCTCACCTAAATAATCTCTCCTTTGTCTCTGGTTCACTGGCAAGGGACATGCCTTGTTGCGATAAATCATGACAATGTTCCTCCATGAGTCATGTTGTCAATTAATGCCATTCCTGTGATGTTTACAAAGTCACAACATTGTTTGCAATGGGCAGGCTGTTCCTCTTCTAACAGATTTTTTCTATTCTACGTATGTCCTTGATGGCTCAGTTTCAAATCAAATCTTCCCACAAGCTGAACCATTTGAAGCTGGGCCCTTAAGTGCAGAAATATTTCTAAGCCTAATGAAAAAAAACTGTAATAAACCCCCCTAAACCTATATAATGACTGAATTACACCTCATTTTCCATAAGGTAATTATTTGGCTTAACTGATTTCCATTGAGGAAAACACAAAATACTGCTTTAAACTATTCATTTATTTAAAAATAAACTCAATGCTTGATGCACAGTGACTTTTCTGATGAGGTGTTTCACTGTAGAAATATTTCCTTGGAGGTACACGAAGTGCCTTAAGAGGAACAGAGGCGTTTGGCTGGGCCTGTGCCTAGCAATAAGCTTCACCACAACAAACTCCAGCTCCACATCTTCTCCATACTCAGGATCTGAGGATCTTTTCTGTCATTTGAAAATTGCAATGGACTCATACGTTTTAAAAAGATCTATTGTAGCCTTAAAGTCATCTAGTTTCTTACGTAATCCAGGAGAATCAACTGATCTTTTTATTCATTAAGCAGCCAGTTTTGATGCACTGCAACCTAATAGCCATTCTTAGTGGATCAACTCTTAATAATCAGACTACAAAAGTTGACTAATTCTCCACAGTTTCAATGGTTAAATAAGGTCAGTGCTCCACACACATTCCTGTTGTCTGGTACAGGATTCATTTGACCAAAGGCAGGCACCATATGCAGTTCCCATAGGGTGAGTGACAACAAATAGGTAATTGTAGAGTGTGACTTGACTCACCCTAAAAAAAAAGATATCTGCATTTGATCAGAGGAAATGGGCCAACAGTTGTCTACTGCTTCTTACCTGTCTCCAAAGGGAGCCTCAGGTGAGTAGCTCAGATGTGGATGTGTAGAGGTAGAGTTATTCCCCATCTTACCTGCTCCAGTTTCTGCTGCCGTTTCAGTAGCTCTATTTCCAGGTCTGATTTCTTCTTTTGTGCTTCCTCTTCTTTTTGTTGTTTAATAACTTGATCCCGTTTCCTTTTCTCCATCACCTTCTGTAGCTCTGGTTTGTTTTGAGGTGCAAGACCCCTTTAAATTAAATGGGGGTACAGGAGAGTGGGAAACAGGGAAGAAAGAGATCAGTTTTAATTAGCAGAAATTCACACAGAACTGTAGGCAGGTTTTCTAAAGTCAAGTAATTGCCTATTTAGATACACTGGATTATAAATAATTAATTAAAAGGAAAAAAAACATGCAGATATTTGTCTGGTTTCTAACGAAAACCCTAAACTAGAATTCAAGTCATATTATTACTGAGGCTATTTCCATTTAATGTGCATGATAATATTTCTCCTGGATAATTCACAATTTTCACTTCCATCTTCAGTCTTCCCTCTATTCTCTCAATTCCAGAAGAACAGATTGGAAAAAACCCAATCACAAATCAAGGCTCTACCAGAGCTAGAAACAAATTTTGGACAAAGAGACTTCCCTTGTTGGCTGATAAGCCACAGAGAACGTGTTCAGACAGTCCTATGCAGGGTATTATGCCCATAGAAGCTTGCATGGACAGAACTAAAAAGTGGTTTCCCTCTGGGTTTTGTCACATTGCTCCTGGAAATCGTCGATTCTGTCCTTCCCTGAAAACGTGAGAGCTTTAGCCATGCCTGGCTGCAAAGCTGTTCCCAATGAGAGCTCACAGGCCACACTCAAAATCACAAAGAGGCTAAGACAACAAAAAGCCAGAATAAAAAAAGTTGCAGTCACCTTGGAGACCAGACAAAGGCTGGAGGATTCTCCCTCTCGCAAGATTTTAGCTACTACATCAAGTGAATGTTTCAGGTCTGTTCAGCACAAATTGCTTTCCAAGCCAACTAGTCTAAAAGGAGAAAACTTGCTCTTTGGGAAGATGCATGACTCTATTTATGCAGGCACACACAATACACACTCACTCCTACTTATTTTTGTAACTTCAGCCATTTCTTTTATCTCTGTTATGCTACAATGTTTCCAAAATTTGTTATGATAAGATTCGAAGCTACCCCTGTTATTCAGCTATTAGTGTCACTTAAGTCAGAGCAGAAAGATCCAAAATTTGCCTTTGTTATTGTTGTCTTCCCTGTGAAGACTGTAAGGTGAAAACATTCAGCATTAAGTTTAACATCAGCTGTTTTTTATTTCAACTTTAAGAAATTCAATAACCTGAATAAGGTTTCAGAAAGCGTATTTTTACCCTTCCCTACTTACTATGTATCTGTGGTTGCCTAATTCTTCCATAATATGCATATCTGACAGCATGTCCAATAATACATCAAAATGCCATTTTATGGTGACATCTATGAATGACTCCATATATTATGCAACACTGTATCCCTGTACATAACCTGACAGCAAAATCAAATATTTAGCAACACCAAATGCCGTTCCCTATTTCTCGTAATAGAACTCATAGCCTGAATGCAACAGAAGCTACAAGATTGTGTTAATATTTTATGTTTCATACTATTTTAATTACATTTTAATACATAAAATCTAAGTCAGGCAGAGAAAAGCTGGAGTGATTCTTTTATTACTACTACTACTACTACTGGGTCAGTGAGAGCTGAATCAATGGAAACTTCCATGTTGGCAATTAGCAATCAAGATAGCCACAAACCAGAGGCAAGCTGCTTGGTAGCAATAAGCGTTCCTGCTTTTTATCAGTATGGCTGCACCATAAGAAAGCAGAGGCACCAGGGTGATTTAGGTGTGCTGCAGCTGTAATAAAGGGGACCCACAGAAGATAAAAGTGAATACAACCGCTCAGTCTAATCAAATGGGGTTGGCAGTCAGATCTGTAACAGAACAACTGTAACATCAATCTCATTTTCACTCTCCTACGTAACAAGGAAAAGCAACAAACAGGCAGCTACTGGATTAACTGGGAGTCTTGTATCACCTCCTGGGGATCATTCTAGTTAAATAAAAATATCCCAAAGCTTTGATATAGAGTAAGCAAAGTGTGCTGTAACACAAGTTAGAGCTGATAGGATTAAAGTATCTGGAAGGCATAGGACCAACACTCTGCAGAGCTGAGGTTGAGTCCTAATAAGTAAAAATAGTTTACGGTAAGTGACCACTGCCTTTAGGTACCATTACCTGGATCTTTGTTTGCCCAAAACAGCTACCATCTCTGCAAGTAAATAACTACATCAGTTCAAGACCCAACAGACACTGCTCACAGTTGGCAAGGAGTATGATCAGACCAGCGCTGGCTATTACCTTCCAAGATCCAGAAATGGCTGATCAAAAAGTGAAGCTGCTGGTGCCTACACCGAGTCTTCATAATAAAATAAGGTGCGTGTTAACCAGACTTCTGTAAGACAACTAAAAGTCCTTGTCCTGGTTTCGGCTGGGACAGAGTTAATTTTCTTCCTAGTAGCTGGCATAGCTCTGTGTTTTGGATTTAGTACAAGAAGAAATGTTGATAACACCCTGATGGCTTAGTTGTTGCTGAGCAGTGCTTACACTGGTCAAGGACTTTTCAGCTTCCCTTGCTCTGCCAGGTGCACAAGAAGCTGGGAGGGGGCACAGCCAGGACAGCTGACCCCAACTGGCCAAAGGGCTATTCCATACCAAATGACATCATGCCCAGTATATAAACTGGGGGGAGTTGGCTGGGGGGCAGCGATCGCTGCTCGGGCACGGGCTGGGCATTGGTCAGCATGTGGTAAGCAATCGCATTGTGCATCACTTGTTTTGTATATTCTCTTATCATTATTATTATTACTGTTATTATTATTTTCCTCTGCTGTTTCATTAAACTGTCTTTATCTCAATCCATGAGTTTTACTTTTTTTCTGATTCTCTCCCCCACCCCACTGGGGAGGGGGGAGTGAGCGAGTGGCTGTGTGGTGCCCACCTGCCTGCCGGGTTAAACCACGACAGACCTCCATACATATGGCAGTTTGCAGTAACAAAGCAGAACACGGCCAGAGTATCTACATTACCGAAAAGCCTCATATCAGAGCTAGTACAGTGCACGAAGCACAGAAGACTAACCCACTTCTCAAAAATACAGGTTCTTCTGCTGGTGAGAACCCTCCAACTACTTCATTTCTGCACCAATAAATAAGAATCTAAAATTAACAGCTGCAGCTAATCAAAATCACAATAAGAGAAGAGTGGGTATCAAGGGCTGCACGACTCCTCTGTGTAATAAGATATTCTTCTAGAAGAAAAGAACTCCATACTATTTAAAAATGCTTTATGCTTTCATAAACTTAAAAGAAAAAAAATAGCCTTAATTTATTGCAGCCTCCACATCCTTTAGAATAAGATCATAAGTCGGGAAACTTCAACTATCTTTCTTTCAATGCCTATAAACTTCTTGGTGCTAGGAACTGACTTTGATCTTTAATCCCATTAACGAAAAATAGGACAAACACCTATTTAGGCCAGTTTCTTCCAATTCAGTTGGCAATCTGTATAACATTTCTACTTCTTCATCACTAAAGAAATGCTGTATTGTGTATGCAATTGATTTAGAATTAAGTATCTGAGCTTAGCATTTGTGAGGATTTTGCTATTACACATAGAAAAGACCCCTTCTCCCCTCAAAATACTACCCTGCCAGAGGGAAAAATAAAAAACCAGAAACTTTCATAATGTGACTCTTCCTGCCAAACAGACAAATCCAGATGTGCTGCAGTAGCAAAGCAATAGCTTCCTCCTCTCCTTTATGAAGGTCCTGGGTCTCAAAAGCCTGAATGGCTCCTACCAGCAACTTTATTCTCAAATTCACTCTGAAATTCTGTTCTTCCACTTCTGTTTTGTGGATCCCCACACCCTTGCCTTTGGAAAGTCCATTTTGGGTGGCTTGAATGCACCGAATCACCGATTTATATTGTAGTTAGTTTCTGTTTGTTTAAATGGAGGAGCCCCAAGAGGCTTGGCGGCTTTTCCTCCACCGTGTGGTCTGGTGGCTATTTTCTTAACATGTTTTCTAAGTGAGTCCTCCGTTGCTGAAGAGTTCTCATAACAGAATTTCAGCTATCTCTGGGGCAAGTGCTTGTTTCTCTGAAGTTGACAAAATCAATTATTTACATCTTTAAAAGCAATATATAGAGCAACAGCTGTGCATCCCATCCCAGAATGAAGGAAGGAACATTTGCATAGCATACAAAGAAACACTTGTGCAGCAGTGGAGCAGGCACCAGACTATCACATTGCATTGCAGGAAAGACCAAGTAAGCAGAGAACAGTTTCATATGAAATAAAATATATCATTTCTTTGATTTAAAAGTGGCCCCATAAACTCAGTGCGCTGGGAATGGTGAAAACCCAAAGATTTTATCATCCTGCTGGTAATAGCAAAATTTTGTCAAATGCTTCATAAGGTTAAGAGCACAAGACAAATTACAGTGTCCATGTAACCAATATGAAATGTGATAGGGGAAGAACTGAACTGCTTCCTCTGGAAACTGACCCTTTGTGAGTATTCACAAAACTGAAGTGAGAAGTCTTTTACAGCAAACTTTTGCAGAGCAACTGAAATTAAAACAGAAATAAACGCCACAGTTAAGAATCAGAGACCTTTTATCTACAAGATCTGAATCAACAAGAAGTGTCTGCTGGGCTTTGGGTAAAACGTCACTTTGATGAAACTAAAACTCAAGCTGTGTGTTTGGGGCAGGAGGGTGGCACAAGTGATTTTTAGATTCTTACCTTTTCTGATTCATAAGCAGCTCTCTATGGAGATCTTGATGATTCCGGGATGACTTCACAGGATTAATTAATTTCTGAGGTCTAATTAATTCAGGATTGTCATCATCTATGTAGTCTGGTTCAGCCATAATCTTTCTTGGTATGGGATATGGATCTTTGGTTTCAGTGTCCTTATTCACAGTATCTGTAAAACCGGGGAAAAACTGCAGTAAATCTACATTGAAAGGCCTTTTAAAGATGCATTAAAACATAAAGGCAGCATATTACATTGGTAACAGTTATGCTATTCCTAGATGAATTTTTTCTGCAGTTGAGTAAAGGCTCTCAGAGCAAACATCAGTAGCATCTTTTTAAATAATCGTTGATTTTACAATGTCATCTCCAACAGCCTTCATCCATTGACTTGGAGACAGATTCCCTGTGTTTTAAGAAGAACTAGACAAATAATTTAGGTCAAATGTGTGAAAAGCCCTATTTATTTTAATAAGCCTACTCAGATGAAGCACTTTTTGATCAGCAATACTGAGACCCTAAAGACATTTTAAATACTGGCTACATTAAGTACTACAAACATGTACCAAAAGTGTAGAGTCCCATTTTCTGCCATCGGTATCACAGCAGCTGTGGGGAAAACACCTTCCTGGGATAAACCCTGAACTGTACTGTACCAAGCAAAAGCTTCCATGTGGTAATTGCAAGATCTGCGATTGTTGGGATGGGAGACAGATTTCTGAGTGGAAAGTCAGACGAGAAAAAGTTGGGTGAGGTTGTTTGCTAAAGGTCATATTTCACCCAGCGAAAATCCACAGAATTCCACTGATCTGAAGGCAATTAAGTCTTGATGATTTATGTCATCCAGAAACGTGGCATTTTCCTATCCTACTATAGAAAACGTATCTATACACCAAATCACAACACTTTTAATCAACAGCTGACAAATAAACCATAGCTTTCAAATAATTTATACGTGACCATTCATACCCCCTTCCATCAAAAAGCTTCAGTCACAGAAAGTTTAGCATCCGAACAAAGCACATTCAGAGCAATTCTGCCTCTGTTCACTGACATGGAAACCTGCACGCAAAATCTGGCACACTGCAATTATCAGTTTGATCAAACACTGGCCCCTCAAACAGACCCCCCAAAAAATAATCTCACAGCATGTGGGTTTACAGAGATGAATCAATGGGACATGAAAGAAAAGGCGAGACACCTCCATTAGCCTGACTGGCAGAACAGCTGAATGCTGCACGCTGTACGGTACGGGGCTGCAAGTCAAATCCCTGGGATTTGACACATATTTTCCAGTAAAAGCTGAACATGCAGTTTAATTTAGATGCCACTGTTACCAGCCCTTCCCTCCCTCTCTCATTCCACGGGCTGTAAAACCTGTCTAAGCTCAGCCTCAGTTCAATCCCTAAACTATTTTGTTTCATTAGGGATCTCATATTGTTGCTCAGAGGGTCTGATTCAAAATCCACTTGATATAGCGGAAAGATTTCCACTAATTCTTCAGTACATTAATGCTGAACCCTGCTTGGCCTGCATGTAACACTTACAGATGAAGAAGCAAAACGACAGGACTAAGTTTTCAGAAGATGCAAGGAAGCCACTCTGGATCTGAACGTGTCCAGTGGACCCAGCGTAGCCCTTCCAGCTTCTTTGTTTGAATGGATGATGTGAATTGTGTTTTACTGGTGTTCCATCTCACACACCAAGCTTCTATGGAGCAAATCCAATGAGAAACAGCTTACCACTGTGAGCCACTCTCAGGGTGGCCCCTGCATTAGTTTTTCAAGGCAAGTTTATACGTATCGTCTTTGAACTCTGTGGGGGTGCTAGTTCTCGCAGGGACCCCTGAAACTACTACAAAAATTGCCCACAGTTCAAAACTATGTAAGTATATTGCTGTACATGATATAAACCTCTTACTGATATTGATTGTGCAATAAAAATACTTCTCCCATCACCCCTTCTGAGTCCTTCTTGCTTCAATCAAGCAACCAGCTACGACCACGTGTGCCAAACATACAGGATCACTGGTAAATTGAGGTCAGAAGAAACTTGGAAGATTTCTAATGCAACCTCCCGCTGAGAGCAGAAAAAACAAGGAGACCAGACCAGGTTGCTCAGGGCTTTACTCAGTAAGGTCCTGAAGTTCTCCAAGGCTGCACAGCCTCTGTGGGCAACTCTGCTCGCCTATCTTCATGGTCAAGCTTTTTCTTTACACCCCTGTGAATGTATTGTTTCAACACATGGCCGTTGCCTCTCACCCTCTGGCCGTGCACAGCGGGGGCTGCTGTTAGGTGCCCCCAATCTTGCCTCTGCTCGGGGCTGAACCAGCCCAGGTCCCTCAGCTACCACCACAGCACTTGCGCCCTGGCCTCCAGCCCATCTCGGTGGCCCTTTGCTGAACTTGTATCTCAAATCCCTTGCTGTTTAATGCCATGTATAAAACAAACAACCACCCCAAAAACTGAAACCACAGCATACTTCTCAATGTGTACCATGTAGCCCCACGCCACTAATAAAAGTGCATGGAAGTCCACTCTGTTTACCATAGACATTAAATAAACTAGCTGTAAGGTTTTAGCTGGTTTGTGGGTTTTTTTTAAATAAGGACACAATTCATAATTCCTCAGCATTCACGTCAGGCTTATCACAACTCAAATGTTACGTATCCAGCTTCCACCCCAAATAAACCTGCTCTGTAAATATTTGTTTTTCTGTACTCCTCTGTTAGTTCTGTTGCACTGATGGGACTGCAAGTCTTCTAGAAGGCATTTATCATTGACAGCTCTCCATTAAAGTAAATCCAAAAATAACCTGCTGCTTCTTCTAGACAAGTCTTCTGTTTGCTTAGGCGAAGATGAAAAATGCAGAGTTACCCTACAACTGTCATAAACAATGCATTATTTTTCTAACATGAGCCCCTGAAAAACAATTTGATTCAATCATTTCTCAGAAAGTTTGATATAATATTTTGCAGCATGCAGATTTGCTTTTGGCAAGCCCTTAAAATGAAGTCTATTTATTCTCCTTTCTTCTGTCCCATCTCTATTTTTAAAACATGTATTCAACTCAGAGGTCAGGAATTGTGGTTTCCTAATGTAACATGAACTCTACTAGCAGCGAACTTGAATGAATAAAACTCCCTTGGGAACTGAAGATGCTTTCCGTGTGTGATTAAGCTGTAAATGATTTCAGCTAGGATTTCCAAACGGAGCTGGCAAAACAGGGCACCCAGTTCCCACCCAGTGAATCTTCTCACACCCTTTGCAAACCTCAGCCTGGCTGGAGGCCACCAACCCAGTCCTGCAGAGTCACTGTGTAATACTATACACAAACAATACAATTTAGATAGTGTGATTTCTACCCCACACCCTTTCAAAGCAAACATTTACAAAAGCACAGGCAAGTTTCACATAAAAAGGAAACTCGGGCACAAAGGATTCACCACACAATGACAGACAGGAACAGAGCTCGCAGTGTAGCCCCAGAGTTTCATTCTGAGATTCAGGCTCACACCAATAAACCAGTCAAGCTTGATGACAGAATCCCTTAAAAGTCCTTAAATGAAGTTTAATCAATGTTCAAGCAATAACAATTAAAAAAAAATTAATTCCACGAGTCTCTAGTGCTCATCACCATGGAAGTTACAACCCATAAAGCTGCTTTCAGATCACCACTAGGTGCAACAGTGGGACATGAATAATCCAAATAATCACTTAGCAGGAATACGCTGCCTTAAGAGCATCCGAGAGGCTCCTTTTAACCATCTACTGTTACATGATCAATTGAAATGTGCAATCCATTTCTGTTTCCCTGTTACCTTGCTCCAAACAAAGGAAAAAGATTTGGAATCGGGGGATGTTTTAGCTGAGCTTGGCTCAAGTTTACTGCACCCACTAACTTGGCAGGTGCTTCCCCAGTGCATTTGCTGAATTAGCTGCTGCCGCGCAAGCAGCACAAAAGCATTTCTCTACCCTCTCTGGTCCTGAGTAACTCCCACAGACTTTGTCCATGACTCCTTACGTACACATGGATTTTCATCCGGAAAGAATAAATTGGGGATCCTGCACGGAAGAGGAATTTTAACTCCTCAAACAGAACTGCAAAGCGATTTCAATATCCCACTAGACAAAAGAAAATGTCTCTGTATAAAAATATCCTCAAGTATCCTCCCAGACAGAAGTTTGATGTTTTCAGACACAAAGATGCTCTTAGAGCAATCAAGAAGTACCACACTGGTACCTCAGTCTCAGAGAGCCAAGACCAAGTAGTCACATACCTGCAGTTCTCTCATTTCTTTTCCTTGGAGCACAAGTAAATTCAGGGAGACCAGAAGAGACCCTTCAAATTGATCATGCTGATATAAACTGATAGAACTTAACTGGGGTTGTGCCAGAAGCATGCAAGTTATGCTTGGGGGAACATGTCCAACAGACACGTTTGCTTCCAATGTTATTTATTTTTTATTCTATTTATAGAGGGCTTTTTTTTCCAGCAGAAGTCCCTTAATGGTAATAATGCTGGAAACACGCATGCAGAGAGCGCTACAGCCAGCCACCAGTGTTTTTAACGGGGTCAGAGTAGATCTTTACAACACCAGGTTAAGGATTCAGCAGCTGCCAGAGCTTTTGCTACAGCAGGGCTCCCATGGCTTCCGCAAGAGAGGGACGTTCATGCCAAAAAACCCCCTTGTGTTTATATGGCATTTGGGGAACTGCATTTGTTTTCTATCTGGTATTCCTCATACCAGAAATCACCCTCTACATATGGAATCTGAATAGAAAAATTCCTGTGGGACACCATTTCTTTATAATATTTTATGTATATATGGCATTTTCACCCCTCAAATGATTCCCACAATTATCTCCAGCTGTGAAAGCAGGGGTAGAGTTGAGGCCCCTTAAAAAGCAGATAGATAAATGCCTAAAAATACCGATGAACATCAAAATAATAACTAGTCCAAGATACAAAAGTTACATTAAGGCTAAATTCATGTGATTTCCTTTTTGCCTTAATAAATTCTTGAATTAATATCTTCCACAGAAGCATTAGCTCAACCACCAAATACCTCCCGAAGTAAGTTTTGGTTCTCAAAAAAGCTTCAACATCTGTTCTGAGCTGTACTGTAAACCAGCAAACGCTATTTTTTAAGACTTACATTTTTAGCTCTTT